AGGCAGCAGCACAAGGATCCCCTGCCCTGCAGGAGGAGTGGAAGGGGTCCCCAGGCAGCAGCACAAGGATCCCCTGCTCTGCAGGAGGAGTGGAAGGGGTCCCCAGGCAGCGTGGCCCCAGCCTGGCTCGGCAGTGCACAGCAGGGAGGGTGGAGCCGGTCTGTGCCTGCCTGCCTGCCCCGGGCTCTCTCCAACGCTGCATATTTGTAAATCAGCCTGTGGAAAAATCCCCAGAGTCCTTGCACAGTCGGTATTCAGCGGGCTGAAACTAATCCAGCGCTCTCAGCAACTTGATATTTCTCAGTGAATCTCTGCCAGTAAATTCTGCTAAATCCTGAAGCTGGGGAGGAGAGGGAGCTCTCCAGGCAGACATTTGGTAGGTCTCTGGCTTGACTCAACACTATAAAGACTAGATTTACAGGGCACAATGAAGTGGTCTGACTGCAAGGCTAACAGAAAACCCAAAGGGGTATTTTTCATTCACAACCTTTTTTTAAGGTACTTTCTGCCCATACTCCTCAATGGTGAGGCTTTGCCTATTCAAAGAGGCTTTGTGGGAATTCATCTCCAATTCAACTGGGGAGAATTGAGAGCCCACCTCTGTTTGGTTTCCCTAGAAAAACCATTCCCTTAGAAAAAACAAACCAAGCTGCATTTGTGGGACCAGATTCAGTCCTGTCATTGTTTCTTCTGTATGGTTGTAGGAAGGCGTTTCAGAGCTGTTGTCCTAGTAACACCTTTTTAATATCATTTTGCAGGTACTTTTTATGGTCCCTATTGGACTCTCAGTAGGAGTTATTTCAGCCTTCCAGATCCCAGCTTTCTGCAACAACAGTAACTTAGTGGCAGTATTTCTTCTGCTGTTGCTCTTTGGGTAAGTGTGGAGCTTAGTTATTTAAATATCACTGCACAGGGTAAGGAACTGGATCTTGCAAGCTGCTGCAGTCTGAGATCCAGGGGGGAATACATGGGCTTTTCTCTTCAACATGCACTTCACAAACAATGACAAAGTTGCTCCTTCCAGGAGCAGGGAGGTGAAGCATTGTTGTCATGCCTGCTTTATTCAAAGCAATCCCTATGTGAGATACAGAAATATTCAAGGTCCCAGAAACAGCCCAAGCTATAAGCAAATGCTTGCTGACCTCTTGCAAAGTTCAAGAACATTTTAATATCAAGAGAGCAAAATTAAACAGCAGTAGCACAATTCTGGAAAACTTAGGCAAACTCTTCTTGGCTTTGAATTCTCCAGGCCCAGTCTCTTTGTTTTCAGGTGGGGTTCCATGTGCAAAGTATTTATCATAAACTTCTTCTCCAAGTTCTAATAGGCACAAAGGCATTTTTCCTTCCTTTAAGCTCTGTAATGTGGAAATGTAGTTACGTGCCAAAACAGAACTCTTGTGTTCCAACTCTGGGGGTGTTCAAAGCCAGGTTAGACAGGGCTTGGAGCAATCTGATCTAGTGGCAGGTGTCCCTGCTCATGGCAGGGGGTGGAACTGGATAGGCTTTAAGTTCTTTTCCAACTCAAACCATTCAACAATTCTGTGATGTTTGATGTCTTCAATGGTTTGTTTTCAAAGTAGCCTTTGAGTTACCATGGTTTTCTCTGCACTGTTGGTATTTATAGATATGCATCATTTTCCTGGATGTACCTGCTGGCTGGGCTTTTCAAGGAAACAGGGATGGCCTTCATTGTTTATGTCTGTGTCAACCTGTTCTTCGGCATCAACACCATTATCACTCACTCTGTTGTGTTCCTGCTCTCCCAGGAAAAGGCCACAGACCAGGTAGGAGCCCCACAAGTACTGACCCTGTGGTGACACTGCAGGAGGCTCCTTGTGGGCTTGGTGGATTTGATCAGGTCCGTAGCAGCTGGACACAGTCACAGGATTTCATGGAGTACCCTACAGACAGGACATGAATCACATGGATCTTGCTTGTCTGTAAATCTGCACCCCCAGCAAAGAAGGGGATGATGGTGACAGAGCGGAGGACATGAAAAGAAAGGGAGAAAACTGAGGACTCTTTCTATAACCACCCTGGTGATGGAGGGCAGGAGGTGGTGGAGATGCTTGATCAGAAGTTGTTGATGGACACTTCAAACCATTGCTGAGTTCTTGCAGCACGAGCTGTGGGGAGTGACAACTGAATAGCACTGCCCTGAGTCTGACATGTGCTGCAGTTAACCCAGCACCAGCTGTCTGTCATTTCAGACTGTAATGTAGTCATCTTCTCCCTGCAAGGATGAAAAACAACCCACAGACAGTGATGATTCCCTAAAGTAAAGCCCTCTCTTAAACTGAGGGAATGGCTGGGATAAAATGCACACCTTACACTTAGATTTCTTTTTTTATGGAGGGAAATTACAATAGCTGGGCTGGATTTTTTTCTCTCTATCTGGACAGAGTTTGTTCAGCAACCCCTTGGATTTTAGGGAGATGCAATTATGATCACCTTTCATCTGTGCCCCAGTGGCAGGGAGTCAGTTCCCTTCCATGCTAATTTAGTGCCTCTCCAGTTTGCTTTGTGCACTGATCCTTTCTTCTGCTAGATATGTACCAGAGTTCTTTACTGTGAGACTGCACTGGGCTGTTCTGCTGTGAATTAGCTGGAAAAGCCCTTCTATGTCTGGAAAAGCCAAATCTTTTGGTTTATGGAGATGTTTGTCTTAGGAAAACAGACGGGGCAGTGCTCCAGGGGAGCAGGCTGTGCTGCACAGATTAGGGGGGCACAGTGGCAGGACTCAGCTCTCACTCATGGGTGGGTTCTGTGTGCTGGAGCAGCAGCAGGGACCATCCTGGGAACTGGCTGCTGTTTACTATGGGTGATCACAACCTCGGAGCTGCCTGTTGACTTTTATGACCTTGTGCCTGTGAAACGAGCTGTCTGCAGAGCTCTTTGCTCTCAATTTATCTCTGCTGAGACACAGGCAAATCCCAATGTAATTGTTACACTTCAGTCCCACGCTAAAACCTATAAATTTATTCCATGAATAAAAGCAGTGACTGACTGTGCTGCTCTTTGTTTTTTTCCAGGGCTTGCGTGATCTTGCTGAAAATTTAAGGCATGTGTTCCTTCTGTTCCCACAATTCTGCTTTGGCTATGGCTTGATTGAACTGTCTCAGGATCAGGCACTGCTGGGCTTCTTAAGGGCCTATGGAGTGGACTACCCTGACAAAACCTTTGAGCTGGACAAGACCACGTCCAAGCTGCTGGCCATGTTCATCCAGGGCACCGTGTTCTTTGCCATTCGACTCACAGTTCATGACAGGATGGTTCAGAGAGTCTGGAACAACGTCCTGGAGTAAGTGACATCTGGAGCCTGCCTGGGAACAGCCCCAGCCACAGCTCCCTGGTTTCATTCTGGGCTCCCGCACCAGCACTGGCAATTATGCAGCCCATAAATTTCCAGGACAATTTGTGAATGTGGAGTGAGTTTTCTCTGGCAGAAGTCCTGGTAATTAGAATATTAACTAACAGAGGTGTAGTTTACAGTCTCCTGGTAGCTGGTGCTGGCTGGCACTGCAGCCCTGGGCTCAGGGTTTGGTGGGTGGATGCTCGGCTGTTGGTGAGGGCAGTCATTCCACTGACAACCTCCTCTCTTTGGCTGTCCCCATCTCCTCTGCCCTGGGTGCACAGAGAGGAGTGAGAACATTCCTGTCACCTGCATTAGGAGTCTGTCCACAAGGCAGGACTCCAGCCCAGAATATCTGCTGAAAAAAGAGGGGAAAAATACAGGCAGGGAGAGAACACTATCTGAGTATTGTGTGCATGCCCTGGGATCACCATGGGAGGCTCCCTGGGATCTATCCCAGGTGCTGGCTGGTGCTGGAGGATAAGTCCCTCTCTGCCCTCCCCCAGGTTCCTATTTGACAGAGTCCATGGCAAAGCCTCCCTTCTGCCCCCCGTGGCCGTGGAGGATGGGGATGTCCAGGCTGAGAGGAGCCGGGTGGAGTCTGGCAAAGCTGACTTTGACGTGGTGCAGCTCCAGAACCTCACCAAGATCTACCACCTCCCTCACAAACGCATCACAGCAGTGAAGAACATCAGCCTTGGGATCCCTGCTGGGGAGGTGAGCGAGGGGAGAAGGCTGTGGGCACCTTCCCGTGTCACTGTCATCTTCTGTAATGGTTTGTTCTGCTCTTCCCTCTTCCTTTCTTTGCCTCATTTATTGATTCTTGGGGTTACAGCAGTGACAAAAGGTTCCTGGTAGATTTGGGACGTCAAGTGACAGTTTGAATGCCTTAGAAGGAGGGAAAGTGGATGGGAATTGATGGAGCTCTATATTCAGAGCAAAATGTCTGCATGCTCTGTTTGTACAGTGCAGTCTTGGGGGGGGGTCACTGGGGATCACCAGGTGGTAAATGAAGACAGCAGAACGTGTCCAGCTGAAATTATTCACCTGAATTGCATGGGAGATGGTGAGTCAGGCTTATCTGCTTGTGTTATCCCACCAGGGGAAGACAAATCACTTCAGCTGAACACACGTTTTCATTAATCAGAACCTAAAATTAACTCCAAAGAAAAAAAAAAACACTTTGGTCATGTAGTGCAGTTGCCTCCCTTAGAAGTGAAAAGACAGGAGCACACAAACCACCTCTGAGATCCAGAGGAAACTGGAGAGCAGATTTTACCTCAGGCTGTGCACCTGACTTGTGGGGAAGTTTGGAATTAATCCTTGGCACCTGGCTTATTTTAATTGCCTGGGTCCCACTGAGATGAAAGGACAGTATCCTCACATGGACACTGTGCTATTCTTAATGGCTGAGAATTATTTATAAGCCAGGACTGGCATCGAGTGACTTCTAGCAAAATTCACCTTGATGCTGGTGGGAATTCAGGGCACCATTCCCCACCTGTAAGCAGAAGCTGTGGCCGTGCACTGCAGACTGTGCACAGATCCTGTTCCTGCATGCACCAAGGTGGGGAAGAGCCATGGTTTGCTGTGCATCCCCAGCACAGGAGGACTTTCACATCAGCTGGTCTGTACTAATGATGGCCAAATAACAGTAATTATCAGCACAATGGAGATGGCTGATGCAACACACAACTGCCTGTATCCAACCTTAACAATAAAACGTGGGTTTTATCATGACATGCTGGAACTACACTACAGGAAGACAATTCTTCATCCTTTAAGCATTTAAAGCATTAAGATAGTGCTTTGGTGATACTATGTGACAAAAACCTTGTGTTGATCAAGGGTTTAACCAGTGCCAGCTCAAACCTCACTCGCCCCATTCCCAGGAGCAGTTCTGTCCCTGTCAAGGGGAGGCTTGGCACAGATGAGCTGATGGGGCTTTGGCCTGAGCTCCTGCAGAAATGCAGTAAAAGGACTGACTCTACTGAGTGGAGAGGCATCCTTGATTCTTCACCATATTAAACAAATGGTGCTAATATAAGCTGGAGTATATTGCACCATAAACAACCTCCATTATAACACTGGGATGCTCTGAGTTCCTCTGGCAATTCATCTTGCTCAAGGGGCTGGAAAAAGAAGGGGCAAGGTGCACTGAGCACCCATCTCAGAGCAATATTTCTGTGTTACAAATACAGCATGTTTAAATTCTGACTTTTCTTTCCCAGTGCTTTGGCTTGCTTGGTGTGAATGGAGCTGGAAAGACAACAATCTTTAAGATGCTGACAGGGGATATTGGAGCATCCAGTGGAAGGCTGCGGGTCCAGGATCATTCTGGGTATGATTTCTGGGGAAGCAAATCAACCTGAGAGCAGTTTTTAAGGCTGGGTGGCAAAGGAAAAGAAATGTAAAAGTCTGAAATAAACCACTCAAACCAGAGCAAAAGTAAATAAGCCAGGGAATTCATTCTTTGAAGGTGGCATGGTTGCTTCCTAGGGGGTTGCATTTTGGTGTTTGTTCCACTTCAGCCCATTGCAAATGGGATCAGGCTCAAGATCCTCAGCAGTGTGATCCCATTTCTAAGCCAGATCTGGAGACCAGCAGGGCTCACCTGAAAGGTTTCTTTAACAGGTGTCGTCTTGGTGGCAGCTGTGCCACCTGAGGTACTGCCAATAACTGGAGAGCTACATACTGGACACACAGCCTCTGCTGAACTGGGGCCCTGAAGGCTGGAGCTCTGCATCCACTGCATTTTCCTTCAAGGGTTGGGGAAGGGGGGTAGGGAGTAGGAGAAAGGGGTTTTCTCCCTCCTGTTTGATTCCAGAGTGCACTGGCAATTCAGTGTGTTTACAGTGATGTGCAACCTCCTTCCACAGGTCCTTGAATGACATCAGTGAGGCCCACTGGTCACTCTTTGGCTACTGTCCTCAAGAAGATGCCCTGGATGACCTGCTGACCGTGGAGGAGCACATGTATTACTACGCTCGGCTGCACGGCATCCCGGAAGGGGACATCAAGGGAGTGAGTAACAAGGGGTTTGACTTGCAGCATTTTTGTCATTTGGAGCCTTTAAATTAGTCTTTCAGTAGATACATGTGTGGTAATCCATGGCCTGGATGTGTTGTGGAAGCTGAACTCTTGCTCCCCAGGTTGTACTCCAGCTCCTCCACCGGCTGAACCTGATGGCCTACAAGGACAGAGTCACCTCTATGTGCAGCTATGGCACCAACAGGAAATTGTCAACTGCTCTGGCTCTCATTGGCAATCCATCCATTCTGCTGCTGGTGAGAAATGGGGTCTTGTTGAGGGAAGAGGAGCAGGTCCTTGGGCTGGCAGGAGAACTTGGACAGTCTCACAAAACCTCCTCAGGCACAGCTTAAGGGACACTACCCACGTGCCCATGCTTGGCCTGACAACAGAAACCATCACAGGACAGTTCAGGTTCCAGCAAACACTCATCTTTTCTTTGAGGGCATAAGAGAGTCTGGCAGCATCTTCCAGAAGTCAAAAATAGACCATATAGTCACCAATTAAATTCTCCTAGTTCCCAGCTCTGTCTTGTTTTTTATTTCTATCAACTTACTTGCACAGCCTTGCAAGAAAAACAGCAGCCAAGGCTCCAAAACAGTAGGAGAGCAAAGGGGCCACTCTCCTCAGAATTATAACATGATTGCTTTTTTAGGTTTGGCTTCCTGTCCTGTCTTTCACTTGAATTTCAAGTTCTTCCATGGGCTTACCCTGTTGGTAAAAATGTACCTTTTTGTGCAGTTTTCCCACTTGCTGTGTACTGAATGTGTGCAGACCTCTGTGAGCAGGATTCTCAATATTAAGTTGGATACCTAGTGTACATAAACATCCCTTGTCCCAACTCCTATTGAGCCTAGCACTGCTGCCTTTACTTCTGACCACCTGCCAGTGCTCCTGCTGCTCTGTGAGATAAAAAATTCTAAATAAAAATAGGAGGGGGGAATTCCCTCTGTACTAACTGCTGCTTGAGCCCAGGGTTGTTTACCTTTTGAGTGCAAGTTTCCATCCAGTCCTGTCTTTCCCAATAGGATGAGCCAAGCTCTGGAATGGACCCGAATGCCAAACGCCACCTTTGGAAAATCATCAGTGAGGAAGTGCAGAACAAATGCTCGGTGATACTCACGTCCCACAGGTAGGGCTGGGCTGCTCTGCCTCCCTTTTTGGAGGCAGCAGAAGTGTGGAGAGACACATCCCTCACTGGTCCTTGCACAGTTTCAGAGCACCAAGCTGGGACAGGTTTGGGGGTTTGTTTGTGGCTGAATGTGGTATCCACAGACACCCTCTTTAGGGAAGATCAGTGGTGTTCTCCAGTTACTTAACCATATTTCTTTACCTTCTCAATGACTTACTTGAGTTTCTTGGTTGGTTTTGCAGCATGGAGGAGTGTGAAGCCCTCTGTACCAGGCTGGCCATCATGGTGAACGGGAGTTTCCAGTGCATTGGCTCTTTGCAGCACATCAAGAGCAGGTCAGTAAAATAAACCTATTTCACTTTTACTGAACAACCTCTGGAGTTACTCACCTACAGCTCTGAGTGCTCAGAACATGAGACCTGTGTTATCAAAACAATGACTTTTCCTTGTTCATGTCCCTTATACACACCACTGAAATTCTGTGTTAACTAATGCACTTTCTACTCTCTCACAGCCTGTCTACCAGAATGTGTCCCCCAAAGTATATCTGTTCACTGCCGCAAATGAGAAATGCGTATTAGGGTTGAGCTTTGGTTTTATTAGTTATAACAATAGCTCAGCTTCTTACTAAGTTTCACTCCAGGTTAACAGCCCTGACCCCATTCAAGCTGCACTGTGCCTGAATTAGATTTCCCCAAAGAGGCTGTGCAGCAATCTCAAAGGAGTTTCTTCATCCGTTTTTCTCTTTTTCTACAGTGTAATTGTGATTTTTCTTTTTACCCTAGATTTGGAAGAGGATTTACTGTGAAGATGCACCTAAACAGCAGCACAGTTTGCACTGAGAAGCTGACAGAGTTCATGAAGTCACACTTCCCAAATACATGCCTGAAGGTAAGCAAGGCAAATGCCTTCAGGGGAGGCTTTCAAAATCCCTTCAAACTGAGCAAGAAGATCCTTGCAAGGTGGATGTCTTGTGACATACTGTGCACGTAGATCTGAGCTCTCAGAGCCACACTTGTCACTGCTTTCAGCTACACTTTCCAAGGGCTGGAGCACTCCAGTTCCTGGTGGCTGAGGTAACATCAGCCAAACAGCTGCAGTGACCCTGTAAGGCAGCTGTTAGGTGACACTCTGCCCTGGGAATGCTCTTCCCACTGAAGCCTGGAATGGATGGAAACCCCCTTTAGGTTCAGTGGGTATTGAGATGCTGCCAGTACTTCCAGTAACTGAGTAATTGTAAAACCAGAGTAACTGAGTCACAAATCCCGTCCATTGTCTGTAACCCAATCTCTGCATGAATCAAAACTGCCCACCTGGAGCAGGAAAATGCTATGGCCACCCTGGAGCCTCCAGCCTTGCAGTTTAGTTGTGCTCCCGCAGTCACAAACCCCACAGGAACTCCCGGTGGGTAAATACTGGTCACTACCAGACAGTAAGATTCAGAAGGCACCACAGCCCCTGCCCCTTCATCCTCCTGTGGTCCAGCTGTTGGATCTGTTGGCTTTCCCCCACCACTCCTGTCCCCACAGGATCGGCATTTCAAGATGGTGGAGTACCACGTTCCTGTCTCTGCAGGAGGAGTAGCCAATATATTTGATCTCCTGGAAGGCAGCAAAGCAGCCTTCGACATCAGGCACTTCTCTGTGAGTCAGACAACGTTGGAGGAGGTAAGGAATTAAAATGTGAGGCCATCCATTTAAAACTGCTAACAGGGGAGCAGAATGATGGTTACACATAATGGACTGCTGCACACAATAGACTACAGTTTGAAAGGGATTTCCATCTATATTCCTCCTGGGGGTACTTTATCAGCACTGCTGCCTCCAGGTACCTCTGCTGGTGCTAGGGAAACACACAGAGGAAGCTGCCTGCAGTATAAAGGATCTGTTCTTCCCTCTGTCACTGCTGATTTCAGGAGCCTCGTGGGTGTGGATGAAGGGCAGGACTATGAATCACCCTCAAGTCCAGGGCTAGGCTTTCCACTGGTACTGAAAATATGCATAATCTCACTTTTCAACTTGGAAGTTCATTTAGCATTGCTCCAAACTTAGCTTTGGGCTTCATTCCATTATCCCTTGGAAGAACATTCCCAATGGCAACAAAATCTCATAGGGAGCACATCAGCTGAAGGGATTGCCACAAGAATGATCCAGAAGAAATCCCCCTGTTGAGCATCAGCACCTGGAATATTAGGTTTGTCCCAGACAGAGGAGCAGAGCTGCAGCCCTGTAGTGCTGTGGATTGTGACACAGCAGTCTGGGAGGGGATTTCCTCAGTGCTGCTTCAGTAAGGGGCAGTGACTTGGAGAGAAACAGGCAGGCAAAGCACAGGAAGCCCCAGCTCAAATTCTGTGGGAGGACAGCTTGGCTCTGTGAATATGCAAATGTGATTACAGGGAGTGTTCTGGTAAGAGTCCTTTCTGTATTCATTAGCTGCTGTTGAAAGGAAGGCTGTTAGGTGTGATTTCATACACCTCTCTCTACACTCTGCAGTTGTGCGTGCACAGATGTCAATTACACAGAGACAGATGGGTTTATGAAGTAATCATGGGACTGTATTACAGTGTGATTGAAACGAGCCACTGCATGGGCATTGCCTCACTGGCTCCTGGGGAGCCTGAGCGGCAGGACAATGAGCTTCCATGCAGGAATGTCTGCCTTTGGATCCTGGGTGGTGGTTCTGCAGTACAGGAGTACACATCCATTTATTTACATGAGCCCATAGAAGCCCAACAATTTGCAATTCTCAAATTCAGCGTGAATCCATCCCTGAGCGAGCTCTCCAGGCTCACAGTCAAATGAGCAGCCATGCCTTTTTTATATTCATTCGTGCTATAAATTATTTATGCTGTCACATACTGAGTGTTTTCCTTTAAAATTCCAGGTTTTCATCAACTTTGCTAAAGATCAAGCAGATCCTGATGGCGCGGACGCAGGTCCTGATGTGACGCTGGACAGCTCTGACACCAGTAGCCAGGCTAGCACCATAAGCTCCATCTATTGAAGGGATCCACCCACACGGGATCATAGAAGCTGGGGAAAAGACCTGACAGCCCCTCCAACCCTGTTTGAAGTGATTTTAGGGTGATGGGGATAAGCAGTCCCATTTTCTTAAAGTACTTTGTTTTTTGATACATGCTTAATTAATGTCACTAGGAACATGGTAGGTGTTTGAGACTGGCACTTGGTTACAAATCAGATTGGTCTTTCCACAGGTTCTTTCCCCCCACCCCCAATTCTTGTGTTATGATCACTGTAATGGCTGTGAGGATTTAAACAGCACCACCTGCTGCTGGTGGCTGTTTGCTTGGAGCAGAGGAAATGTAGGCAGTGCAGGGTGTCTGACCACAGAGGAAAGCCCACGCTCCACTCCCTGCTCAGCAGCAGACTTCCTGGGTGACTGAGTGCAAGTGGCTCTGTTCTGACAGGTTCCCCCTGGGGAAATGGAGCTCATGGCCTTGCCCCTCCTCACAGGGGGGTTGTGAGGATGCAGGTGTTACGTACTGACAGTGGCAAAGGCCACTGGTGGGGGCCATCTTTGGTAATGACACAGAGCTTATCTGGTTATGTCAGCACAAATATAACTATTTTATGATTTAGTGCTTCCAGTGGTTTTGGTTTGTTCCTGTAGCTTATTCCAGCTCTGTGTAACTCCTCGAGTGAGTCCTCTGGTCCCAGGCAGTTCCTGGCTCTTGGTACCCAGTGGAAGATAATTCCCCCACGAGCCCCTTTCTCCTTCTGGCTGGAGTTCAGGGCTGCTCTGGAGCAGCCAAGGAGTGGTACAGGGCAGGTCTGTTGGCTGAAAGCTCTGACAGAAAAAGCTCTTTGCTTCATAAGATTGTATTTCCCTGAGCACAGTAGAAGCAAGGAGCATCCCCCTTTCTCATAAACCCTCCATCTCCAGCAGCTTTGCCTCTCTGTGTCCTCTCCAGTGACCTTCCTCCTCAACCCCACATGCTGGCTGCCCTGTGACTCTGGAGCTGTGTTTTCCCACATAACAAGGCATCATTAGCTCCTGCTTCAAAGACTCTGCCTGCTGGCTTTAAAGGAGTGCTCTACCCACTTCTGAGAGCAGCCCCCAGCAGCTGAATTCAGCACACCACCACACACATCCTGCTCTCTTCCCCCAGAATGATTAATAGATAGAATAGTTTAATATGATTCTTTATTATATGTATCAGCATAAGGCCCCAAAAACTTGGGTTTGGGTCAGGGCATTGATGTACCTTCAAGCACAAAATGAACTTAAACTCTGAGCTCAATAAACTTGCTGTTGCTGGTAAAACAGATTGCAGATAAAGCCTTACCTTGTGAGACCTGGGGTGGCCCATACAACTTACCTGGGTTTACCCACACAATTCCAGCCAGGTGGTTTCTTCTTCCTTTTTTTTTAATTTCCCCAAACTAATTTGAGTCTAAGGAACCTTTGATGAAAACTGCAATGACACATCTTTGTTACCCTGACCATGAATTGGACTAGTTCAGCTCCTCTGTGATGCCAAGGTTTGCTGTGGTAATTGTGCAAGGAGTAGGTACTTTGTAAAATCCCAAACACCCTTGATATTCAGTGGGATACTGAAGTTCAAGGTTTAGCTGCTGCAAGGAGGTCACGTCCTTTCTTTGGTCTTGGTGTAAACTTCTTACTGTTAGCAGGAGGAGTTTTATTATGGATTGAAAGTATTATCAAGCTTTGAATTATGCCTCAACCTGCTGACTGTAATTAAAACTGGGACTCAGCTTCTTTCTAGAATGCATTTGACACCTGCAGTTTATAAGTGACTGAAAAAGCTGCCCAGACATCCATTGTAGCTTCTATTATTATGTCTCCAGCTCTGCAAAAGCTCTTTTTTCTCATTTTCATTGCACATCTTACACAGATCACAGTATAAAATTAAGCTTTTCTCTAATGGAGGGCTTGTGCTCCCTGCAAAGGACTCAGAGCATGAATGCCAATGATTTAAATGCAGCCTTGTAATACCAATCAGAGTATTATTTTATTATGTCGATGGCTTTGCAACTGCCAGTGAAAGATGGATCTTCAGACTCTGTCCAGATGTACTTTACATGTAATTGAGGGAGACTGATAAAAAAATATTCTTTTGTCCCTTTAAAACCTACTAAACAAACAAGGAAAAAAAAAAAAAAAAAAAAGGAAGTGATTCATTGGAATACTTCATCAAGTTGCAATTTAATTGTGTAAAATAGAGTTTTGAGGAGAAAAAAAGCCAAAAGCATCCTTTGAATTCCCACCCAATTCTGGCATTAATAGAAACATCTGCTCCATGTGAAATGTGTCATGGCCATGATCTACGCTCCCCGTTCTCACTGGCAGGTAAAAATAAACCATCTGCTCTTGCAATCAAGTCTGTGGGTATTGGTCCAAGCAAGCCAGAGTTTATATACTGGGGGAATTTAACGGAGGCCCGTGGAGAAGCAGTTACATCCGTTTGGGGGCTGGAAGCATCTGGCAGGGAGGTTGTATATAACGTCACCGGGGGCTGAATTACCATTCACGCAACACTTTACAATCATCGCCGTTCCCTGCAGAGCCTCAGCTCCATCCTGTCCCTTTCAGAGGTAGGACACGCTCCAAGCTCAATTCTGAGGCAAAACCTTGGAAGCCAGCACTCTCCTGCCTCTGCACATCAGCTCCATGCCTCCCATCACCTCTTTGTTTCCCTGAGAAGGTTCTGGGGGTGGTGGGAATGTGGAGCACTGACTGAGAAGCCACTGATGAGAATCTGAAAGGTTCTGAGCAGGGTCTACAGGGCAGGGGAAGGACAGGTGTCACACTGGGTGTCCCCCACTGCCAGCACTCTCTGAATCTTCTCAGAAATTTCAGCTTTACATGACTCTGCTTCCAAAATGAGCCACCAGGCTGCCTCCGTCCTCTGGTCTGAGCAGGGAGCTGAGATTGCTGCCCTGGAGTGCTGTGTACCATGCACATCACCTCTCCAGGAGCCAGCGAGGAGTGCTGCAGTCCAGGGGAAACAAGCTCTTCATCTTCCTCCTTTATGCAGCATCACCTCAGTCACCCACTATCCCCCGAGGAGGCAGCAGTGCCAGGGTGAGCCCTCCCAGCGTGGTCACACAGCCCCAGGGGGCTCATTGGCAGCAGCCTCACCCCGGCTTCATTTAAAATGCATTTGACACAAGGGACAGGCAGTCCAGGAGGAATTGCAGAACTGGTTCTGTGCATTGCCAGGCTGATTGAAGCCAGGTTTGTAATTTGGGTTGTGGACTTGGAGACAATGATTCAAATCTCCACCCTGGCTCTCCATGTATCGCTTTGTGCTGTTCATGAGAGCACGGTGCTGCTCCAGCCTGATCCTTGCTTAGCTCCACTCTTGGTGCAAATAGCCACTGAGGGCTGGTTTGGCAAGGTCAGAAAGAGTCTGGCAGGGGCTGGGGAAAACTGTTCAGAGGAGCCAATGTTAAGTAAAATATTGTAAATATAAATTCAAGGTGTCTAATGAGATTTTTTTGTCCTTTCATGAGAGCTGCAGGAGTGGTTTTGTTACTGGGTCAGTTCAGAAAACGTGTTCATCTCAGATGAACACATCCAGGTAAACAAAATTCAGTGACTACTGAAGCTTAGGGGCTGGTAGTGCCCAAAGATGTGCAGCCTGTGAGGAGTCACTCCTGGAATCCAGAATTTGTGGGATCCATCCTCATAACAGGCTCAGGATGGGGCTTAGCCTGTTGTAGGAGCTTCAACTTCCTTCCATTGGTGCACTTTCACTGAAGTTGCTGTGAGGATTTTTGGCTTTTTACAAGCCAAGAAAAATATCTGTCTCTTCAGTTAATAGTGGAAGGGTTATTTTGTGAGCTGGTGAAGAAAGAAAAATGGGTTTTGGATGGCAACAGCACATAGCATGATTTTACTCTTTTTTTTTTTTTTTTGTGGACAACAGCTGTGATCTTGCATACTCTAACAAAGTATCAACGCCATATTAAAAGTGAGCACAACACAGAAAAGCAGCAGTGGGGAAGGACAAAAAAAAATTGAATTCACCAGAATTATTATTCCATGTCAGTATTTAAATTTTAAAAAATCTCTCTAATTAATTTAGTTGTTCAGGGAGAGGATGGAAAGAAGAAAGATGGCACTGAAATAATAAGAACAACATTAGTAAGGGACACAGCCAGCTCTTGCTGTTGGCACTGCTCCTCATGCTACTCACATACACAGCACTGGGAAGGAGGGAGCATGATGGGCCAGACCTGACTCCTCAAAGTGTCTGTAGAACACACAAGATGACCCCAGGGAGTATCAGAGTTTTGGGGCTGGAGGCTGCCCCTTGCCATGGTACAATCCTGCAGCACCTGGATGGTGACACATGCCAGAATGGAAGAGTCCCACTGGTTAAGTCTGGGATGAAGGACACAGATCCTTGTGCCTGCAACACATGGAGCAACACTTGGAACCGGTTCCCTCTCCCAAGTGCTCATCCTGGGGGATGCAGCCCCTACTTCATTGCTCATGGCTGCTGGAAGACCCTTCTGGAAAGAAGGCATCCACCAGGGAGAGCAATCCTGAGGGCCCCGTGCTGGGGGTGAGACAAGGAAATGGCAGCACTCCCACGAGCTGTAAGGCTCACAGGAACAGCCCCACTGCTGAGTGTCATGGAGGTGCTTTGGTTTTAAGCAGTGAGGCTTTCACTAGACCAGCAAGTTGGGCAGAAATGAAGCATCTCTTGGAAAGAGTTCAGGTCTCCAGTGACTTCACTGACAAAGAAAACAAATAACGGCCATGACAATTTATGGTAATGCACATGAGATGAAATCCAAGTGAAGACAAGGTGATATTTGAAGCTCTTACATCCATTATCAGGTCCAGGTGAACTCTCAGGCCTCTACTCTCCATGTCCTGCTTGTCAGGGGAAGAGATTTTGCCCAGCCCTCTGCTTGAGTGTGCACTGCCTATTTCCCAGCCAAAGACAAACAAATTGAAGCACATCTAGCATGGGACAGGGAGGAGGAAGCAGGATGATCTGCCTCTTC